TGTCCTGAAAGCAAGATGTATTTCCAATAGCTTGAGATTGTGCAATCTGAATGACCAGCAGCAGCAGCAACATTTATGGTACTTCCCGCATAACATCCTCTCATCTATAAACACACAGCCTTCAGATCCCATCAGTATAGGGCCCATCTTCTTTCTACAGCCATGCCTACCACTCAATCACATGTGGAGAAAACTTCATACAAACCTCTCCCAGCTGACAAGACCTTTCCACAACCGGACTATTTCAAGCAGAATCAATACACTCTGCAGTTATTAAAAATTTCAGCTTTTAAGAAGCCCGCTTTAATTAAATTATCTTTTTTAGGGCCTACGATATGGCAGACTTTTTCAAAGTTAGGTTTCTCTTTGTTGAATGTAATCAGTTGTCTCGTTAACAGAGAGTAACATATTAGCAAGGATATATTGGGAGTAACAGATTAACAGGGATATATATAATGGAAACAACATTAATATGGATATATACATGGCTGTAACAGTAACAAGGTTATATACATGGGTGTAACATCAACAAGGATATATACATGGATTTGGTGTTAACAAGGATATAGACATGGGTGTAACATTAACAAGGATATATACATGGGAGCGTCATTAATAAGGATATATACATGGGTGTAACATCAACAAGGATATATATATGGATGTGGTGTTAACAAGGCTATAGACATGGGTGTAACATTAACAAGGATATATACATGGGAGCATCATTAATAAGGATATAGACATGGGTGTAACATCCACAAGGATATATACATGGGTGTAACATCAACAAGGATATATACATGGGTGTAACATCAACAAGGTTATATACATGGGAGCGTCATTAACAAGGATATAGACATGGGTGTAACATCCACAAGGATATATACATGGGTGTAACATCAACAAGGATATATACATGGGTGTAACATCAACAAGGTTATATACATGGGAGCGTCATTAACAAGGATGTATACATGGGAACGTCATTAACAAGGATATGATTACAGCCTAATCCGTCGAATTTTGAACACCCAGCAGTGCCGATCCGTCGAATCATGCTTGAGTGGTTTTGTGCTAATCGGTCTAATTTCAGATTGTGTTAACGCACTGGGAGAGTCGAAGATCATTGATTAAGGGGTCGGCTTGTATTGGATTAGACTAAATGTTTTTTTAATGAACAAGAACAGATTCTGGTGAAGACTTACTGATTGCTGACATCGAACTGGGTATCATATGTTAGGCAATTACTATTTAGTTATGGCTTTGGATGGACGTGGCTTGCACAGGATATAGGTAAGCTCCGTAGAGCACTTTCAAAGTTCAGATGTAGTGCTCATAATTCCTGTATACAAAATTCCCGGCGGGTTAAAAACCCTGACCCTGATGCATCGCTCTGCCCGTTCTGTAGAAACACAGGTGAAGACAAGTTCCATGTCTTCCTTGTATATCCTACGTATGAGGAGAGCAGACAAAAGTATCTACCACAATATTATACAAAACACCCATTTTTTTTGTTAAGTTTGAAAGACCACTAGCCAACCAAAATGAAAAACTTACCTTGTGTTAAACAATTTTTATAACAAAGATATTTGAGATTAGAGACCAAAGTTTAATCCCTACCGTGCGACTATGTATACCTTACATTATTATACTCCCAGGTTTATGCACCAAGTCTAAATTACTACTCGAGAAGTTTGAACATCACGAACTATATATTTCTCCTTATGAATGCATTTTATTTAATGCATCAATTTCAATTTTGTACAAAAGTAAAAAAATATAGAGAGTCCAAACATATATTTAATGCATCAATTTCTCATTGTATCATATGAGTAGGCAAAGATATATACTGTACAAAAGTACAAAAATATAGAGAGTCAAACCACCCAACACCCCTTGCGTCTTTTTTTTGTATGATCCAATGTTTTGATAACTAATTCATAGCTAATATCACAGTGCCGATCCGTCGAGTACATTTTACTACCCGGATATCAGAAATTCGACGGATCGATACCTGACCCAAGGATATATACATGGGATTGTCATTAACAAGGATATATACATGAGAGCGTAATTAGCAAGGATATATACATGGGAGCGTCATTAATAAGGAAATATACATGAGAGCGTAATTAGCAAGGATATATACATGGGAGCGTCATTAACAAGGATATATACATGAGAGCGTAAATAGCAAGGATATATACATGGGAGCGTCATTAACAAGGATATATACATGAGAGCGTAATTAGCAAGGATATATACATGGGAGCGTCATTAATAAGGATATATACATGAGAGCGTAATTAGCAAGGATATATACATGGGAGCGTCATTAACAAGGATATATACATGAGAGCGTAATTAGCAAGGATATATACATGGGAGCGTCATTAACAAGGATATATACATGGGAGCGTAATTAGCAAGGATATATACATGGGAGCGTCATTAATAAGGAAATATACGTGGGAGTGTATTTAACCGGGAAATAAAAATGGGTGTAACAATTTTAGGAGGAAAATATGCTCTGAAATTATGTTTATTTAGAGGAAAATATCCATAGAAGAAGAGGGAATATACATAGAAATAGCATTAAGGCTAAATATTCGTGGAACTAACATTTATTAATGGGGAAGCATAATAAAAGGAACATTTATTAAAAGAGAGTATGCTTGGGAGTTACATATACATGTGTTACAGGCACATACATGTGGTAGTATTGTATACTAACAGAACACATGTACCCGATCAGGCATGAAGTAAATATGTATGAGGGAAGTATTTCCTTGTTGAGCATGTGTCAGTCAATCTCACAAGAAACAATTGCACATTATATAAATCAATATTTGCTAATGGTTTGTCAGGCTTGTGTTACTACATGTTCCCTGCAACTAGCGTGTCAACGGGCATTACGGAGGCCACTCGCGACACGCTGTTGCCCCACTAGCATCCAGCCCTGTGTTGGCAGATCTGAAACATCAGAGACTTGCCATATCAACTCTCACATGAAAATCAGAGTATATTTCAGCTTGGGAGAAGGCTAGCAAGATTCATTAACTTATCTAAACTAGATCGTGACCATATTTCCTCATCGGCTTCAACTGATATTTGGTCCTTTTTTTTGTTGTTGGACATTGCATTAGCTGTGGTGGCCTTTGGGGAAGCTCATTTTAGGATGAAAGATGAGGTGAAGACGAAACGTGCGCCATTATTCAAACAGTCCTTCCCAATCATACTCAATAGCATCATTATTCAAAAATGATTTTACAGGAGATCACAGGTCTTATGATAATATGTTTGTTTAACCATGTTATTTAAGCAGATTAAGTGCATGTCTTGTTTCTTCTCAATTGTAGTCGACACCCTCGTCTCACTTATTAGTTATTTAGTGTAATGTGACGTAGATATGAGCGTACTTGATGAGCACAGACACGTAGATGAAATCTTTTTATGGCTTATTGCCAAATATTGACAGACGATTATCAAACTTCAGCTTGCTGCTATGCGTTTTGGGTTTACGGATAAAATTATCTGCAAGTTATCGTGACGCATTCATCAATAACCGATTTAATTTTCTCATTTAGCATGTTCAGAGACATGTGTTTTTTCCTTCTTGAAGTCATACAAGTACATGTCATACCCTACACATAACGGGAATTTCATCCTCGTTATAGGCCTGCCAGATCAAAGTCAAGACTAATTTAGTCTTGATGGGCAATTACCAGTTAGCTGAACATGACATGAAAGTTCTTGCATAACCTCTGTGTTATTTCTGTGCATGCTTAGAGCTACCTGTCTTAAGTTATCATCCATAATTTTGTCAGCATTATAGGCTTGACGATTGGCTCACCAGTCTGGTGGTCATCTATGAGCTGCATCACTTTTGTTTTCCAGCTAAATTAAGGTTCCCTGGTCTGATTGAAATAACTATCAATGTACCATCGATGCTCATGCTGTTGATCACAGGATTGTCTGGTCCAGATTAAATTATGTGCAGACCGGCGCCATATAGCTGGAATATTGCTGAGCACAGTATATAACAACAAACCAACCAACCGGCCAAACTTGGTTATCCAGTGTATTGGGTCTTTGGTTTTATAATGCTAGGCCATGTCATACCTAAAGATATTAAAACATGGTAGGGGCGGTGGGGTAGCCTAGTGGTTGAAGGGTTCGCGTGTCTTGCCAAAGACCTGGCTTCGATTCCCCATATGGGCACAATGTGTGAAGCCCATTTCTGGTGTCCCTGCCGTGATATTGCTGGAATATTGCTAAAAGCGGCGTAAAACTAAACTCACTCACTCACTAAAGCATGGTACTTGTTGTTGCCTTGCCTGACACATGGCATTTAAACAAGGGATTAATGACATGGAGTGGTCAATTCAGAGTCAGTACACTATGTCTGATTGGAATATCCGTTCTGAAATATGCAATAACCCCTTGCATATCTCTATAAAAGGGGTGGTGGGGTAGCCTAGTAGTTAAAGCTTTCACTGACCCGCTGACGACCTGGGTTCGATTCCCCTCATGGGTACAATGTGTGAAACCCATTTCTAGGGTCCCTTGGAATGATATTGCTGGAAGATTGTTAAAGTGGTCTGAAACTCACTCACTCACTCACTAAAAAGTGCTAAAAATATATGTTAACCCTATTTCACTTCATCTTTCTGATATGACTTGGTTGACACATGTCATCGGTTCCCAATTGAGCAGATCGATGCTCATGCTGGTGATCACTGGATTGTCAGACCGGCCGCCATATAGCTGGAATATTGCTTAGTGCGGCGTAAAACTCAACTCACTCACTCACTCACTTCTGATATGAACAACACAGAAATATTGTTTTGAAACTTATTGTCTATTCAATATTGTCCTTCTTAGGATTACATGAGTACGGAATGTAATAGTACAAGAGATTGCTTGTAACACTGTAATAGATATTCATGATGCTGTCTCACTGTGAGTTTACCATTTCCTTTGTTTCTCTGTTTCAGATTATAGGTTTATTAAATGCTTTCACACCACAGAAATCTTTAGAAGAATTTCAAGATGTGTAAGTATATGTTTCTATTATTCTATTATGTTTCTATTATTCTATTAATGCTCCTGTCCACAAAGCAATCATTGTGCAACACCAATCATAAGCCAATGTCAAAGTGCAGGTATTTCAATCACCTTTGTACAATGATAGTTTTGTGGAACGGTTCCCTGGATAGAATTGTCATCAGATGCAATACTCACTATTATGTCACTGAAGTTATATAAAAAGGTCTTAGTTAAAAGCTTGGCAGTGTGGTAGCCTAGTGGAATTTTGCTAAAAGCGGAGTTAAACTAGACTCACTCACTCACTAACAGTTAGTTAAAAGCACTGCTGGTATCTTTGAAGTAAATTGGAATCACATCATTTTATTTCTGCTTTAAGACCAGAGTAAGACAGAATTTAAAGTAATGCGGTTCAGGGACTGTGAGACAGAATAATAGGGATGCCATTATACATTGATACATCGATGCATCAATACTTTTTCTAAGATGATACAATTATCGATACATTCAAAACTGTATCGATATTTAGTTTTGAAAGTATCGCTTTCAATATGTTTATGTATCGTTTACATTTTGCAATGTATCATGTTTTTTCATGTTATGAGAGTTATAAATGATTATTTTTCATGCACAAAGTGGGAAATTAGGACTTTTTAATCTCTGAGAATCAAACATGTTGATCTTTTCATGGACAATTATAAAATATGAAATATTAATGTTCAAAATGTAACTAAATTTGGATATGAATTGAATCTTATGTAGTGATATGGGTATCGTGATACGTATCGATTCATGAAACTTATGTATCGTGACATCCCTACAGACTACGCTCTTCACCCCGAGGACCCGGGTTCGATGCTCCTCATGGGCACAATGTGTGAAGCCCATTTCTGGTGTCCCCCCCGTGATGTTGCTGGAATATTGCTAAAAGCGGCGTAAAAACCCAGGTTCGATGCTCCTCATGGGCACAATGTGTGAAGCCCTTTTCTGGTGTCCCCGCCGTGATATTGCTGGAATATTGCTAAAAGTGGCGTAAAACCCGGGTTCGATGCTCCTCATGGGCACAATGTGTGAAGCCCATTTCTGGTGTCCCCCGCCGTGATATTGCTGGAATATTGCTTAAAGTGGCGTAAAACCCAGGTTCGATGCTCCTCATGGGCACAATGTGTGAAGCCCATTTCTGGTGTCCCCCGCCGTGATATTGCTGGAATATTGCTTAAAGTGGCGTAAAACCCGGGTTCGATGCTCCTCATGGGCACAATGTGTGAAGCCCATTTCTGGTGTCCCCCGCCGTGATATTGCTGGAATATTGCTAAAAAGTAAAACCGGTTCGATGCTCCTCATAAAAGCCCCTGGTGGTTCGATGCTCCTCGATGCTCCTCATGGGCACAATGTGTGAAGCCCATTTCTGGTGTCCCCGCCATTGCGTGATATTGCTGGAATATTGCTAAAAGCGTAAAACCTGGGTTCCATGCTCCTCATGGGCAACAATGTGTGAAGCCCATTTCTGGTGTCCCCTGCCATTGATATTGCTGGAATATTGCTAAAGTGGTAAAACCGGGTTCGATGCTCCTCATGGGCACAATGTGTGAAGCCCATTTCTGGTGTCCCCGCCGTGATATTGCTGGAATATTGCTTAAAGTGGCGTAAAACCGGGTTCGATGCTCCTCATGGGCACAATGTGTGAAGCCCATTTCTGGAATGTCCCCATTGCTCCTCATGGGCACAAAGCCCGATTTCTGGGCGTATTGCTGGAAACCTGGTTCGATGATATTGCTGGAATATTGCTAAAAGTGGCGTAAAACCGGGTTCGATGCTCCTCATGCTCCTCATGGGCACAATGTGTGAAGCCCATTTCTGGTGTCCCCCGCCGTGATATTGCTGGAATATTGCTTAAAGTGGCGTAAAACCCGGGTTCGATGCTCCTCATGGGCACAATGTGTGAAGCCCATTTCTGGTGTCCCCCGCCGTGATATTGCTGGAATATTGCGAACTAAGTCAGCACCTGTGTACATGGGTTTCACCATATATGGTAAACATCTGAGATCTGCTTCAGGCCTTCCTCTAGCATCATGCTGACATGCTGTGATATAACTTGAAAACTGTACAAAGCACCATTAAACCCTCTTGTTCACACACTCACTCTCTGAAAATGCACAGAATCTGCATCTGTATGAAATTAAGGTCAGTGAAAAAGGCAGTCACATTGACATACTCATGAGCTGTGCCATACAACCTGCTTAGACTTCGGTAGATGAAACAATCTCTTGGATGATGTCAGAGAGATTATGATTCTTTTCAAAATGTTTTTCTTCTTTCTTTTTTTTTTGTGAGGTGGTAAGGGCATGGGGTGATTTAATCCCTGTACTAAAGGAACAACATTTTTAATCCTCATATAACTCTTTTAGAGTGCTTCCACATCAACTGCGGTGAAATCCTGAGAAGTGTTTTTTTTGTGATTTGCCTGTTATATAAGTTTGAGGGCATCCAAACAAAGTTTCTGGATGTCATTGATGAAAGCAAATTGTATAATCAAAACTTTGAATGGCTTCTTCAAGCAGCAACTTCTGAAAGGTTCTCCACTTATGAGAAACATGTTTACATGTATGCATGATTAGCCCATCACATGGGCAACAAAACAGGGTTAATTGGTGAAAGAAAATAATTAATGGACGTTCACATGTGAATAACAGGTAAATGCATCAAATGAACCAGTAGCGCCCTTGAGTTTGGATAATTACAGTTGTCTGCCCTTATGTAGAGAAGAGAGCAGGGATGGGTCAACTTTGTTGACCTTCATTTCTCAAAACCATCTCAGGGCATGGCCTTTTGTATTCTGTTCAGGTGGGCAGTTAAGGGGATTTGTGTATGACTGGCATGACAAAACAAGTTAAAGGTTTTTTCATGAAAATGCTGAAAAATACAGATTTAAAAGTATGTGCTAGGTACCCAGAAAAAAATTGTTTAGAAATACAATTGTTTGATGCTTTTTTCAGTGATGGAAAAAATAACATCTCTCAAAAAACTTGATGCACTATGACAGTCATAACTACTGCATTAAACATAGTCTGATTCTAGTTATCTAAGGCATTTAAGCAAATAGCTTGTCATTGACACAGACCTTTGTTCTAAACAGGCCTTATGATTTAGGATTCTTCTTGAAATGAACACCAGTTGAAATTATTATGCTGTGGGACCATCAATCATGATGACATCATTTCAGATTACAAGAACTCAGGCATATGAATTATTTGGCGCATGTTTCTGTCATGATGTTGAGGCTATTATTTCGAAACACAAGAGAATGACTAGGTATCACTGTTTGTCATGTGACTGTCATTCCTGTAGGAAGTCTTTTGCTGATGTTTCTGGATCTGAAGGAAATTCGAACAGCCATTTTCCTTTTGACAAGGCTGAAGACAATCAGTTGGCTTGCTGTGTATGCAGGTGCCTGAAATTGCTTGTCTCAGGAAATCTGTCTTTGGGGACCAAGTGAATAATAATTCTTTAGCATGGCTCCACTTATCAAACGCGTAATCGTCTCCAGAAAACCTTCCCTGTCTGAAGACATATTCCTGTGTAATAGGTTTTGAGTTAAGTCGGAAATTGTTTGGAACATTGGCTCTTCATGTCATCTTGTGATTTTCTTCAGTTTGAGATATGGCACGGAGTGTTTTGAAGATTGAAGCAATTTCACGATGACAAACGAAAAGGTTTCTGATGTCATTAATCAAAGTTTTAACCATGTATGTTTTTATATCATCTGTGTAGTAAGAATGGCTATCTGTGTGTAGTTTATATCCATTAAAGGTTTTGTAATTAGATGCTTTCATTATCCTACCTTTTTGTTTTGTGATTAAAGAATGACATACATTCTTTGTCAGTGAAAATCGGAAATTAATGGATTTTGATGAAATTAGATGGAATAGCAAAGCACAGATCAATATGGATTCTTCAAGAGATTGAGTTTCAGGGGAACTATTTTTATTTTGAGATCATGTAGGCATACATTTTGCGAAGTGGGTTGGTGTTTATGACATGATTCTGCCATGAGAGCCACATAAGTAGTGGTGTGGTGAGTGACAGTCGAAGATGTTTTTCCAGAAGGATATCTTGAATATTTTCCTCCGACCATTCCGTCGAAGTGAAGCTATGTTTATGGTATCGATTGCATTTTCTTTTAGGAGAGCATTAAGACATTTCTGAAATGTTTCAACAGTCACTTTATCAAAGTAAAACCATTAGACAGTAAGTAATATTCTTGCTGGTGGGTTTCATCGACGTTGTAAACATCTCTTACCTTCTTCACTCCCGCACTTGGTGTTACTGGAATTCTGTTCAAAGCGGCATTAAATGTATCTCTCTCACTCCTCTCATGATGCAGACATGTATGATATACTATGAGCAACACCATGAATTTGAAGAGTGCTTGATTCTGATTGGTCGACCAGAGGTATCAAATCATAATGACAACCAGTGATTGAAACAGCTGATTTGATGGCTGCATCACCATAGATGTTTTTTTCAGTCCTTGTCAGGAAGCATTATCAAATAATCGTATGTACAATTTAGAAGGTAAACTTACTTATATTAAAGTCAGACCTAATTGATTTGGCAATAATCATATTGTGTTTTCTATGTAGAGATAGCTAAGGATAACAGTAAATTTACACTCTACAACTGTTAAATTTACAAGTAACCTCGATCTGCATTAAAACGCAATTTGATTATCACCAACTTATACCCAGGTCACTCAATCATTCTTCTGTGAGTTAGGTGTAGCCTCACAGACTTACAATGTTACAGAACAAAGAATATTTACACATGCGAAGTCCTTAGGGATGGCTCAATGAGAGTAATGTACATAAAGCCCTATAGTTCAATTTGACGCTGCTAGTTTGAGGACTTTACGAGGGTCTCACACAGGCTGCTACCATGGCACCCCAGCAGCAGCAGATACAGAGGTATTAGATTATACACACATGGACCGAAGTCATTTTCTCTGAAGCA